TGTGTGTGTGTGTGTGTGTGTGTGTGTGTGTGTGTGTGTGTATGTATATATATATATATATATACATACAAATGATGATGCTTAATATGTCTTCTATCCTCAGCTCAGATGTCCCTACATCCAGGAAGCCCTCCCTGATCTTCCAGGCTGAGGCAGGTGCCCCTCCTGGCCTCCTACAGCTCCCTCAGCTTCCTGAGCCCATCCCTGGCCATGCTGTCACTGTTTGGGGACAAGTCAGTCTCCTCCAGACTGTGTGAACCCCAGCAGGGCAGGACCAGGGCCATCTCAGGCACCACTGAGTCTCAGCACCGGGCTGGGCTTAGGAGGAGAGATCAATAGCAAGTTGTTGGTTTGCACTGATAAGATGATTAAGACAGTGGTTCACAAACTTTCCTGTGCATCTTAGGGAGCTTGTTATAAACACAGATGCTGAGCCCTTCTTTTAAAAGCTCTGATTCAGTAGGTTTGGTGTAAGCCCAGGATTATGCATTTTTAATAAGTGTTCCCCCTCACACACACTGGATAGTATTATTTCAGAACCATTTTGCCTGCCAAGTATTTTCTTGCTGGATGAATTTCAGCAAGTGATTTCAGCTCTCTGAACCTGTTAGTCTTTGAGAAAATGGGTATCTTAGCTCCCTCTGAGAATTTAAGTTTCCATGACATGACACCTTTATGTGTGTGAACATACTTTAAATGTTTGTCTCATCATTATGTCCCTAACTTTCAGGACCTCATCCCAAGTAGGCATGTTGATACATGTCTGAGTACACGTTGAATGAATGAATGGATATGAGGCTTCACTGAGATCACACATGTAAAATGCATCTCGCCAAGCCTGGCACATAACAGATGTTCTACACAGAGAAGTGGGGCTAGTTTCCCTCAATATTCAGGCTCCTCTTTCCTCACAGTAATAGAGATTTTGGCTGGGCACATGGCCACCCAGAATAAAGACTACATTTCCCAGTTTCCTCTGCAGCTGGGGCATCCACGTAACTAGATTCTGGCCAATGAGAAATGAGAAGTGATGGGTTCCTTTACAGGGCTATCGCCTACCCTCGACTTCCCTTTCCCTTTCCCACTGGTAAGGGTGGGGTCATCGAGGCCAGGATGGCTGTGTCTTGTTGGAATGTGAATAAAGGCCACACTTGGTGGAGCAACAAGATAGCAGGATCCTGGGCTCTGATGACCTCACAGAGCAGAACTGTCATACCCATGCTTTCTAGAAGGCAGAAATAAACTCTCCTCTCCGGCCAATGCAAGTCATAGTTATTTTGGGTCCCTCTGTTTCATACAGCCCATTATGGGTTATTTTCTCCCAGCCTCATCCCCGACCCTGTGCTCCTCAGTTCTGGGACCCCTCCCCCATTTGCTTCTCAGGGCCCCTCACTCACTCCTCCTCCTCCTCTGCCCCCTGCAGCCTCTGCTCTTTCTTCTGCTGCCGGCAGATGAGGATGCCCGTGGCGGCCACAGCAGTAGCAATGATGGCAGCGATGATCCCCCCAATGATGCCGCCTGTGGCCCCTGCGCCTGCTGTGTTGGGTGTCTCTGCAAGAAGAGGGACAGCGTAAGGGAGTCTCCAGGAGGAAGCCATAACTCTTTATTCCCAGCCCCCCCAAGTCTCCACCCACCTGCCTACCTCCTCTCCCAAGGGCAGGGAACATTCTTTTTATTCACCTAACCCTTCCTGAGCATTTGTTGCATGAGAGAGTGGTGAACAAAGCATACAAAATTCCCAGTCTCATGGGACTTACATTTTGTTGGGCAGGGAGGCCAACAGTAGAGAAATATACACAATAGCTATCATCCAGGTGACAGTAAGTGATAGAGGATAACAATATATAGTGGAGGGGGGAGGGTGT